TGGCTACTACAGTGAGAAATTGGTGAGTACTTTGCTGGCTTGGGACCTGACCCCAGCTGGATGCCTCTAGGCTCTTTTTTCTACAGTCATTCCAGGCTGAAGTCCTAGAGTCTGGTCTCCCAGACCCTGGTGTCATAGGTGCTACACTTGCCTACATCTCTCCCTCCAACCACTTGGGCCATTTGGCAGGACTGAAATTCCTCCAGAGCACAAAGTTCTTCCTGCCTCTGCTGTGGTGGCGTAGGAGTAAACCTCTGCCTGAAGCTCCATTCCCCTCAAAATTCCTCCTTTCTCAGCTTTCAGCTTGTGTGGAACTTTCCTTGGCCTGAGCAGGGAGAACCCTCTGTCAGGTACTTGTTGAGCATTCCTGTTCCTGCCATGTTCAGGGCACTCAGCACTGTTATCCCCTCTCCTAGTCCCTTTTCACTATAAGTTCCATGAGGGGACCAGCTGTCTAGTTTGCTCACTGCGGCTTTGGWAATGGCCCCATGGCCTTGATGTCCCCCCAGGAGGCGATCCAGCTGGACGGCGAGATCCTCTTCTCATTGCTGCAGAAGGTTTCACCTGTGGCCCACAAGCACCTCAGCCGTCAGAAGATTGACCCGCTGCTCTACATGACAGAGTGGTTCATGTGCGCCTTTGCCCGCACCCTGCCCTGGAGCTCTGTGCTGCGTGTCTGGGACATGTTCTTCTGTGAGGGTAACCAGGCTGGCCTGGGGGGAATTTCAGAGCCCTGGTAGAGGCCTCCTTGCACTCACCATCTGCTTCCCATGCAGGAGTCAAGATCATCTTCCGGGTGGGGTTGGTGCTACTGAAGCACGCACTGGGCTCCCCAGAGAAGCTCAAAGCCTGCCAGGGCCAGTACGAGACCATCGAGCAACTGCGGAGCCTCAGTCCCAAGATCATGCAGGAAGCCTTCCTGGTTCAGGAGGTTCGGCCTACACCTGCCCCTTGTGGCGACTAGGAGGGAGGAGGATTTGGTAGGGTTCTGCTCACAAGGATGGGCTACCCATGCTGGGCCCACTGCTAAGCAGCCCTGAACAGGGCAGATGGACCTCACCTTCCTGTCTTGGTGGGGCACAGAGAGGCCTTGGTTTGTAGGACCTTCCTTATCCAAGCCACCGGGGAATGAAGAGGAGCTGCAACCTGTAACCTCTTCTTTCCTGGTCCCACATTCATGGCCTGGGCTTTATTTTTCCTTTTTTTTTTTTTTTTTCTTTTCCTTTGTGGATACCGCTCTCTCAGGCTACAATGAAGTGATACATGAGTGGCCAGCTTCTATGGCTTGAGGCCAGGGGATAGGGCTGATGCCATTGCGTGGGGAAGAAATAGAAAGCAACAGCCCATTTTTGTACTTGCTTTACCAACAGCTGCTGAAGACTGTGCCATTATCCCTATTTTACGCATGAGGAAATGGAGGCTCACAGAGGCAGGATCATAAAGTGACTCCCCCAGTCACCAACCAAAAAGTGGCACAGCTGGAATTAGCCCAGGAGGCCAGGGTGCCCTAGGCAGTTGGGGGGCAGGGCATGTGGGCCAAGAATGGGTGTTGTCCTGAGCCTTATTTCTCTTGCCCAGTAAGAAAGGCAAATTGACTTGTGTTGTGAGCAGCTTTTTCCTCAGAGGCAGTGGGTTTCATGTCCCTGGCACTCAGCTCTGGGACTTGGGACCACAGCTTGGGACCAGATTCTCATCTTTGCTGGGTTCAGCTGTTATCAGTGAGAGCTGGGAGATGCTGAAGGGAGAGCAGGGGTCCAGGCTGAAACAACTGGTGATGGTCCTTCTTCTTGGTGCCCACCTGCCCCTCACTGCCCCTGCAGGTGGTAGAGTTGCCTGTGACAGAGCGCCAGATTGAGCGGGAGCATCTCATCCAGCTGCGGCGCTGGCAGGAGACACGGGGTGAGCTGCAGTGTCGCTCCCCACCCAGGCTGCATGGTGCCAAGGCCATCYTAGATGCAGAGCCCGGCCCCCGGCCTGCCCTGCAACCTTCACCGTCCATCCGCCTACCCCCAGATGCACCCCTCCCTGGCTCCAAAGCCAAGCCCAAGCCTCCCAAGCAGGTCCAGAAGGAGCAGCGGAAGCAGACAAAAGCAAGTGGGCAACTGGACAAGTCCCTGTCCCCCAACCAAGCTGCGGTAGTGACGGCTGCAGGAGATGCATGTCTCTCACAGGATGTGCCCTCAAAGGACCTGGCTTCTCAGGACCCAGCCCCCCAGGACTCAGCACCCCAGGACTTAGCCCACCACTGCTCCCAGGAGAGCCTGACATCCCAGGAGAGTGAAGATACCTACTTGTAACCCCGGCAGCTCAGGCCTCCAGGGTGGGGGTCTCCACACACCTACATGATTTGAAGACTGATGCTCCAGSTCCTGCTCACCCAAGGGCCCCACTGCTTGGCCACTGGGCTGGGAGAGTCTGGCTGGACTAGCACAGATTCTGCCTGAGCCTCCTTATTTATTTTCTCTAGAGTGGAGCTCTGGCTGGCCCAGCCAGGGCAGACAGAAGCCAGGGCCAAGTGGGTGGGGCCTCATTCAGCACCCTTCCTGGATGCTCCCAGGATTAGGGTGCTGGCATGAGGAGAGAGGGTGGGGTGCCCTTTGTGTAAAATAGAAATGTGGTTTTGTACAGAAATAAACAGGCTTGTGTAGAGAGTTGGTGTGTAGCTAGGGACTGGGAAGGGGTGACACCCTGGTGCTTAGCATCTCTTCTCCACATCTCTTAACCCAAAACTATCCTCTTTGAGAAGAACCTTTGGCAGAGGAATTGCCAAGTCCAGGACCAGCCCCTCTTACTGGCCCCATCTTCCCTGACCCCATCCCTTTCCTCTGCCATGGATGAGGGACACCAGGGCTTGGAGCCCACCACTGGATCAGAGCAGGGTTATGATTTCCTGGACTTAGGTCCCTTTTAATAATCATTGAAGGGTAAGGGCTTCCTGCAGAGGTGGCTTCAAGTTCTTTCCCCTCCAAGGCCTAGCCAGATGCCACTTCAGGTCCTGATTAGCTTCTGAGTGCTCATTGGAGATTGGGAGCTGGCACCAGGGGTGAGGAACCATGAATGTCCTCATGCTCAGCCCAGACCTCTGTCAAGAGGCAGACAGGTGAGGGGAGAAGTCTGGGTCCTTGATAAAATGCTGCCTTATGTTTACTGAGCACTTACCTTGTGGCAGGCAGGCTTGGTTGTGTGGTGTGCCTGAGAGGTAGGGAACTGGAGCCGAGTGGGAAAGGAGCCTTGCCTTCCAACATGAAGAGTCACACTGGCACCTAGATCCCTTCACTCATCTCCCTCTCCTGACCAGTTTTCTAGTGATCCTACTGCCACTGAGAGGCCAGGCAGGCATTTGGTCACAACTGATGACTGGCAAGGCTGAGGACAGGGTGTCCCTGAGAAAGCCCCCCCCCCCTTCTGCTGAGGAAGCAGCTTTTCCAGTCAAACAATAGGAGCTGTTCCTGGCAGGAGACCAGGCTCAGCCAGGCCATAGTGGGTGGGGAGGGTGGAGGGAGGAGCAGAGCCTGTGAGCTTTTAGGCATTGGTTGTGTATGAGACATCTTTTTCTGGTACAGCTGGGGATACTGAAGCCTAGGGAGGTGAACTACCAGTGGAGGCTCGAGGGAGACCACCCACTTCCTCCCCCTGCCCATTACCCTGTGTTTTCCCACCSTATCTTCACCTGCCCTGGGTGAGATGGGCTCAGTCTGAGAAACACTCCTCCTTCCTCCAGTTCTCTAGGGGACAGGCCAGGATATCATGGTTGCACAGAGTTTCCTGGAATACCTACAAATCCAAGAATGCAGGGAATAGGTTTAGCGTGATCCCTAGGTGCTTGTGGTGGAGGTTCCAGAACAGGTAGAAAGCCTGCTCAGTATTACTTTAACCCACTTGGTTCAAACCCTCTGTTTGAGGCCAGAGGATGCTTGAGCCAAAAAAAAAAAAAAAAAAAAGCCCCTTGGAGCATGCTCAGCTCTACCATGAAGCCACCTGAGCTTGCTGATGCCTGCTCAGCCTTGAGGTCGTCTTAGACCTTGCAGAGGTCTGATAAGAATCTGGGGTGCCAGCCAGTTCTGGGGGCGTCCTTGGGCCTGAAGCAAATTAAGATGTGCTTAGGCCAACTGGGTTCTGCTAATGCCTACAGGCTCCGGAAAGGCCTCTGCAGAGCTCAAAGCCCAGGCCTAAGGTCTAAGTATCCTGTGAGCCTTAATTGCATGGGTCTGTCCCTGCAGAGCCCTGGTCATCCCTAGCCCAGGCACTTCTGAGTATCATTTTTATTGAGGGACCTCAAGCTGGGGCATCTTCAGTGCTCTACCCRACTGGCAGAGGTGGCTAGGTTTCGCCTTACCTCTGAGCTCCTGGTGGGGAGTCTTCTCCGGAASTGGGTGAGAAAAATGGGGCCACCAAGGCCTGGTGGCCCACTTGCAAAGTGGAGAGGGGATATTATCAATACCAATCCTAGGCAGCCACTGCTTTGGGAACGGGGGGCCTTTGTCACCACAACTTCAGTCAGCTTTGGAGGTTTTGCCTCACACGAAGCCAGAAAGAGGAAGGACAGAAATGCCTCACACCATCACACTCTTGGGAGTTAATTACATCTCGTTCCGGGAATTTGGGGGCAGCATTCTACTCCCAGTCAGGCTCCGGTTTGTCTCAAGGCCCCTCCTAGTCTTAAAGCCCTCAACCACAATGCCCACGTGTGTGCCCCAGAGGACAGAATCAAACCCGTTCCTACTAAACAGCCGCCAGCTGGTGGAAAGGGCGGAGCCAAAGGGTGGGGGCGCGGTCAAGGCGGGGCCCAGGGAACGCAGGCCCAGTGGAATCAAGCGGTGATTCGGRAGCTAGGGCTAGAGGGGTGGAGCCATCCGGGGTGGGGCTCGGAGAGCTGGAAGAAGCTGGGTGAAGTACTGGTGTGGAAGGCGTGGCCACCTTGCATAGGCTGCGCATCTTGAAGGGCGTGACCGTCAAGTAGCTGGGCGCCCAGCTGAGTGCCCTGTTGGGCGGGTCTGCAGTGTTGTGAGCGGCGTGTATAGTCCCGCACAGCGGCTCCTTTAAGTCCGGGGAGCCACCCCTGCCGCCCCGCCTCCGGCCTCGGTTTAGCTGGCGGCGGGGCTGGGGCCGCGCGAGCCGAGATGGAGCTGCACATCCTAGAGCACCGGGTGCGGGTGCTGAGCCTCGCCCGCCAGGGTCTCTGGCTCTACACCCACCCTCTCATCAAGCTGCTCTTCCTGCCCCGCCGTAGCCGGTGCGCTCCCGGGTTCGGGGGCGCCGATGGGGGGGGGGCTCTTCACTGTCTCTCCCGGCCAGGGTTGGAGGATTAGGATCGTCGCGAGGCGGGCGGGAGCGGGAAGGCAGGCGCTCCCCCTCCGGCCGCCATCCGGCCTGGGCCTACCCTCCCGGGGACCGCCGCCTATCCGGTCCCGGAGGCTGCATCCCAGGGCCAGTCAAGGCGCAAACAGCCTGGAGTGGGAAATGCTTAACTCCGAATGGTGTGAAGTGGGGGCATTCCTACCTGGCCACTACGGAGAGCTCCTTCCCGACGCCTCCCATCAGGTCAGAGGGGCCGGCCTGGGGGCCCAAGGTCCGATGCCCCTGGTGTTGTCTCGGGTGTGAGCCTCTCCTCCCTGGAGTAATGGAGGGGCGGGAGGCTACGGGGAGGGAGTTTTGGAGGTGGACAACAGCCCTTGCCTGGGGAAATGGGGCCCACACCCCTTTGCCAGGGGAAATTGAGCCTGCGGATGGGGGCCGGGCAGGAAGGCGCCTGGCAGGGGGTCCTTTGGGACGAATTGAGCTCAGTCCACCCCCACCCCCACCCCCCGGGAGTGCTCCACTCCAGGCTGAAGATCCTCCCTACTCCCGACCAGGTGTAAATTCTTCAGCCTGACGGAGACCCCCGAGGATTACACGCTCATGGTGGACGAGGAGGGCTTTAAAGGTGGGGTCTAGTCTCATGCCTCCCTTTATGCAGGATTCCTAACGGATGCTGGGATCCAGATCCCAAGAACTTGGGCCTTGAAAGGCAGATGGATCTGGGTTCGAATTCTACTCCACCACTCACTGGCTCTCTTGATGAAATCACTTTCCCTGAGATATTTCCTCTTTTGTAAAATGGGTATAGTTACGGTAGTGATCTAGCAGGGTCCCAGGAGGGTATCATAAAAGTGAAACTGTCAGGGAGGGGTCACTTAATTGCCTTAGGCCAGTAAGGAGGGGGGCAGGTATCTTAGCTACAGGTCCGGACTTGAATGTGTGGGGTGGGGGAAGGAGGTTCCTGCTGCTGTTTTAACCCCTAAGCATTGTTTTCTGTTGGACTTTTATCCCGGGTACAMGTCAGCTCCTCTCCTGCTGGTCTAGGAACTCCTGGAGTCTGAGGGTTGAGAAAGGAATGCAGGAGCAGGCAGCCAGGGCAGGGTCCTGGGGGCCTCCTGGCTGTGCCTCTGGGAACAGCAGCCAACCGGGGCCCTGGCCCTTGTTCAGAACTGGCCGCCAGCCTGGTCCCTCCCTGGGCCCTGGAGCTGCTGTCTCTTCCCACTTCTGCAAGAGTTACTTCCTTACAGGCCGGGATCASACTAACCAACTGGAGGCTGTCCTATCTCCTTGCTGCTCCACTTCAGGCCTTGGGTTCCGAGTTGCTACTTAATTTCAGGGAAGTCTGGATCTGCAAACGAGGAAAAGCCCTTCCACCCACAGGCTAACCCAATCTGCTTGCGCCCCCCAGTGGTGCTTTGTGATATAAAGCTTCTGTTAATGCTCAAAACATTACTTTCATCCCATTTTACAGATAAGGAAACAGATCATTTGCCCCATAACAAGTAATTAGCAGAGCTGGGATTTGAAACCAGTTAGTTGAGTCTGGAGTTCAGATCTTTAATGGGAAGGTTCAACACCCCCCCCCTTCGCCAACACACACACAGTACCCAAAGCACTTCTCAGTCTGCATACCTATGGGTATTACTCTGCAGCATTAGGGGGAGACAGCTCTCATCTCCAGACCTGCCTATATATTGCTGACCCTCCAAGGCACAGACAGGGAAATTAAGTCTCAGAAAGGGGTAGGGCTAGCCCTGAAGGCCCTTACTAGGCATTTGCCTCCTACTACAGAGCTGCCCCCATCGGAATTTCTGCAAGTGGCTGAAGCCACCTGGCTGGTGATGAATGTATCGTCGCACAGTGGTGCAGCAGTGCAGGCTGCTGGGGTCACTAAAATTGCTCGCTCAGTCATCACGCCACTGGCCGAGCACCATGTATCTGTGCTGATGCTATCCACTTACCAGACAGACTTCATCCTGGTAAGTTTCCCATAGGTATAGGCACAAGGCAGCATGGGCATGGGTGCCTGGGGGACCCATGTGATGTGCCATATGCCTATGGCCCAGGTGCGGGAGCAGGACCTGTCTGTGGTGATCCACACTCTGGCCCAGGAGTTCGACATTTACCGTGAAGTGGGTGGGGAGCCTGTACCTGTTGCCAGGGATGATTCCAGCAACGGCTTTCCTCGTGCCCAGCATGGTGAGGTCTGCCTCTTGACACCTAAACTTTCCAGTGGGGCTCTTCCCTTATGCTGGTGGGTCTGGGAGCATGGGAAAACCAGCAGACACTAACTGCCTCTTGAGCTGGGAGGAGGAGTGGGAGGTCCCAGGCTGGTTCCTGGAGTTTGAGGTAAGCCGGCCTGGGGTTATTCCCAGACTGACCATCAGGGGTCGCCCCAGCCCGTGAATGCCTTTTCATCTGGCGCCCTGTCCACCTCAAGCAGGGCCCAGCCCCACAGTGCATCCCATTCAGAGTCCACAGAACCGCTTCTGTGTTCTCACACTGGACCCTGAGACACTGCCAGCCATCGCCACCACCCTCATTGATGTCCTCTTCTACTCTCACAGGTGGGTTGTGTGTACATTTGGTCTTTGTCCTCACACCACTGTTTCCTTCACTCTGACTCACCTTTGTCCTATCTGCTTCGTCTGCACCCTGTTCCCTTTGCTGTGTCTCAGGGTTCCTGGCAGCCCATGGTTTCCGCATGCCCTTCACTGATATTCAGGGAAGGTCTTAACCTCAAAGTTAGAGCCTTCTCCTGTGGTCAGCAGAGCCACTCCCATCATTCCCTGTTCAGATCCTCTACCTCTGGGGTCTTTCATCTTCAGCATGGACAAGGCTTATTGTCCTACCCCATCCCCACCAGCACCTCCCAGTAGAGATTGACTGTAAGTAGATAGAGTGGGCTGGGTGTTTGGCAGAAACCCTGACCCTGCTGTCCCTCCCTAGTGCCCCCAAGGAAGTGGCCCCAGGCAGTCCTGAGCCCAGCTCCATCCAATTCTTCGCCTTCTCCCTCATTGAGGGCTACATCTCTATCGTCATGGATGCTGAGACACAAAAAAAGTATGATTCCTGATTCTAGGTGGRCAACAGACCCTATGCTAGCCTGGGGAGGGAGAAGGCAGGGCACCAGACTTTTGAGGTCTAAATGCACACCTGCCCTAGGGACTCACAGTGGGATAGGGACAGATGGGGGTGCCCTGCCTATCACCCACATGCCTCCCCAGATTCCCTAGTGACCTCCTGCTGACCAGTTCCTCAGGCGAGCTGTGGAGGATGGTGCGCATTGGTGGACAGCCCCTAGGCTTCGGTGAGGCCACTCCCTGTGTTGGGGGGTAGGGAAGGCCTATGGTGTAACCACAGTGGCCAGTGTAAGCCTTGTGTGTCCCTCCTTATCCCTTAGATGAATGTGGGATTGTGGCCCAGATTGCGGGTCCCCTGGCTGCTGCTGACATCTCTGCATACTACATCAGCACTTTCAATTTTGACCATGCCCTGGTGAGTACCATGAGTTGGGGCAGGGGATCCTGGAGGGAAACTGAGGCCCAGAATGGAGGGGCCATAAGGTAATCCCAGCTGGGCCAGGCAGGACATCTGGGCATTCCTGATTGGATTCAGTCCTGGCCCTCCTTCCTGATCATTTGTCCCCAGGTGCCTGAGGATGGTATCAACAGTGTCATCGCAGTCCTCCAGCGAAGGCCAGAGAGCCTGGCCTCCTAAGGCCTGTAGGGATCAGTGCAGAATCCCAGATCTTCTGGGTTTCCAGAGACTTCTCTAAGCTATTTCCTCAAGCTCTGGGATGATTTCCCCTGTTCCTGGCGGGGGAACCCTCATTCCACTCTCTGTATGTAAGCTGTGTGCTGGCACCGGCTCTCGTGGACACGTGTACACGCACAGGTGGAATGGGCAGGTGCTAGCCCGACCGTGTGTCTACCCGTGCGGGGAACATGGTGCTCTGGGGCTTAAGCCCCCAACCCATCATTCCCTGTAGTGGCCTCGGCATTTGCACAGTCCCTGCCTGAGGCCTGAGCCATCCCCCTCACCTCCCCTGAGGGACAGCTGCCCCCACTGGGCAGGGTCCCATGTCTGGCTGGATTGCTTCCAGTCAGGCAAAATCTTGACAGTGCCTCCCCCCTCCTGGGGCTTCCAAGAAAAGTGTTTTTACTTCTGTTTCACTCTCTTTCTCTCTTTTTTAAAAAATCATCTGTTAATAAAAGACTTTATATTGACTAGACTGGGCTGTGGTCCATGGGGCTTATCTAGGGCTTACTCTCAGCCAGGGCAGTCCCCAGGCCTTGTTCTCTCCCTGTGTAGCTGTTGAGAACTGGGCTCACCTCACCTCGCTTGCTGCTCATGATAGTTCCCTGAGCAGAACGTGAAACATCACCATGTTCCAGATGAGGAACCGAAGCTTTGAGAAGTTCACAAGTGATAGGACTCAGCGAAGGTCACATGACTCCCACCCAAGGCTGTCTGCCTTGGAAGTCTGGGCTCTTTTTTCATTCCTTGCTGCTTCTGTTCCCACAGAGTTCCTGGCCTCATGTCCATCAGGGGGGTCTGAACATGGGCAGAGACTTCTGGATCCTTCTGTCTGGGCATCCCCCAAACCATCTGGGTACAAGTGGGCTGGTATGAAACCCATAGAGGAGGGCCCCAAAGCCCCTTTCTTCCAGATTGTGGCTTGCTTGCTTTTGGGCCTCACCTGAGTTCTGATGGTCCCTCTTGTTGGTGGAGAGGTCAGTTAGTTCTCGCCACCAGGGCTTTTTTAGAGCAGTGGAGGCAGGGTCCCTGCATGCTGGGAGGTCCCTGCTGAGGCTGGGAGTACGGAACAGGTGAGCCCACCTAGAGCCTGCTCCGTCATCAAGGGCTGCACGCCTGGGCACATCTGGGCCTGGATTTCCTGCCGTAGGGCCCGCCTTCCCACTCTGCAAGGCCAGGACTCTGCTGTAGTCCACTTGAGCCCCCCCCAGATGCACCCAAGAGGTTATCAGGTGCCTTCAGCCTAGACCCGCCCATGTTGGGAAGGGAAGAAGGGTGTGACTTCTCTGTATTTGGAGGTCGTGGTGGCTCCCCAGAAAAGCCAGAACAGGGACAAGTCCTCTGGCAGTATGCCCGTCCTCCCTCTGGGAACCCCAAGGCTCGGGACTCAGGGTGCAGATCAGGCTAGCCGAGAGCACAGTCCCGGCCCGGTGAGTGAGTGGTGGGGACCTGGCCAGCCCCTTCCCTAAGCCTCAGTTTTTCATCCTCTGCCTCCCGATGCATGGAAATGTGGGGAGCAGCTCCTTCAGGAAACCTGGGAAGGGAGGATTTCTTTTCTTTTCTTTCTTTCTTTCTTTTTTTTTTTTTTTTTAAGTTTCTCTGTGGTAGGGGTAGGACGGTGAAGTCTTGCTTCTTTCCTCTGGAGAGCTGGTGTAGACACTGGCTTGGGAGGTGTCCTGGACCGGAGGCAGAGCCTTCAGAATCAAGATTCTTGGGGCTACTTGTGTGCCTACAGAGTTCCTGGCCTAAAGTCCAGTGTCGGGGTCTGACCATCTGTCTATCTGCCTGTGAGTCACTGTCTGGTTGGGTGTTTCTCACTGTGGCTCTCTAAGGACATCAAGGTCTTGACAAGTCCCTTTAACTAGGTCCCAACATGGCCTTAACTAGTTTGGGGGACTGACCTGGGTAAGGCCCAGGAGGCTGGTCTGACATGGACCCAGGCCTAGTTGTCAGCATATCCACCTGTGTCTCTGCTACATATCTGAGTGTGTCCATGAGGAGGGTTTTTAGTTCTGAGGGTAATAGAGTCCTTGGGTGGTCACAGGGCTGGACCTCAGCCTCTAGCAAGTCACAGAGATCTGCTCTGGGAATGTTAAGGAGATTCTGACCCATCTGGGGTCAGGCACAAGGTTCCCCAGGAACAGGGGAGTGCCTTTCAGGGAGGCGACCCTGGACCTCACACCAGGCTGAGCCTTGAGTTCTCCAATATTGAGGTGAGGGATCATGCAGCCACCTCCCTGTCTCACCCAGGCCCCCAGGGTGTCCTATGGCAAAGGAAGCTAGTGTGGTCAGCCTGGGCCTGGGATTGGGCTCAGCTTGGATCATTCATAACCAGAACTGGGGATACTTGCTGGGTCACAGCCCACATCCTTGACTTCCSAGCCCTGTGAACCCCCGTCTACCTGTCCACATCACAGACAGTGAAACTTAGTGCTCATGACCTGCCCACTGTCCCTCAGGTAATAGGAAGTTGTTCTCAGGCTTCTGGTGGCCATCCCAGGGTCCAGCTTTTGCTGGGAGGATGTGGGCCTGGGCGGGGGAGGACGTAGATGAGGAAACCTCAGGCGGGGAGAGGCAGTGGCCCATTTCTACCCTTTCTGATCTTCCTGCCCATACAGAGGAAGTGACCTCTCAAGCCTTCCTCAAAGATACGGGAGAGGAAATTTGGGGTTTAAAGACCTCATCTCCATCCCTGCCAGGAAGAGCAACCTGGTCTTTTGCATTCCAAGTAGTCCACACATGGCTTCTTGGTCCTCTGTAGAGATGGAATAAGAAACTTTGATGTCCTTCTTGCCCCTTGGGAAGGGCCTGAGCTGGAGGTAGATGGAAGGGGCCGTAGGGGAGGTGGTGAGGGTCTGCAGCTGGTTGACTGTATGGGGATGAGGAGGAGGACTCTGTCATTTACCTGTGTGTGTATAGGGGAGGTGCACAATTAATTTATGTATATATTCAATGTAGGTTTTCGTCATCTCCATTTTACACAGGTGGAAATGAAGCACAGAGAGGTAAAGTGACTTTCCCCAAATCACAGCTGGTCATGGCAGAACCAGAATTCCAAAAGAAGGTTAAATGTGCCCACAGGAGCCTGGGGAGTTTCCCTGGGGGAAAAGGCACTTTAGCTGAACCCTGAGGAATGGGGAAGGTTTTGCAAGATCCTTGCAATCCCTGCTGTCTGCGTTGGTGGCCTGGTGTCTGCTGCTGGTGGCAACGGATGCGTGGGCAGGCACGCGAGGCCTGGCCCTGGCTCCTCCCTGACCCTGGGCTAGGCAGGGTGGGTGTGTTGGGCAATGGCTGYGGTTTGAGTCTCACTTTCCCAAGCAGCCCCTGGTGCTGGGGCTCTAGAACCAACATTGCCTCTTGTGGGGGTACCCAGGGTTCCTTCCCAGGAGGTTAATGTAGGCCATGGATGTGGGTACTACGTGGGCATGCATGTGTGGTGCACGGGTATGCATGTGCTGCCTGGGTTTATGCTCTTTGTGTGTGCACAGATGAGTCCATTTGGGAAGGAAAGTGTGAGGGTATGTGTGTATATGTGTGTAAAGTAGCCTACACCTGGGTTGAAGGGACAGTGTGTCCTGGCATGGCCGTTATTTGGACCTCTGGGGTGAGCATCTGGATGTCCATGTCTGTTTATGTGGGGATGTCAGCTGTGGGCCTGGCTCCGTCCCTGCCTATGCACGTGTGTGTGTGTGTGTGTGTGTGTGTGTGTGTGTGTGTGACATGTGAGCATGGAAGTTCTGTGTTACTGTGTGTTTTTGCATGTTGTGAGCAGGTGTGTTGCACATGTTGACATCTTTCATGTTCAYGTGTTCACATATGTGCCCGAATGTATCCCACATCTCCTGCCTCTGCCTGATCGGTAGATGGGTATGCTGCTCCACCTGCCACCTCCCCAGTGCTGGCTCCAGTGGCCCGCTGTCAGAAGGACAACTCTCCTGTGCTCACTAGAACAACTGCTGTGCCTCTGTCCTACCCCATATCCTCCRCCTTCTGCCCTCCTCCCTTCAGCCTCAGCCTCTCTAGTTTCCCATCTACCTCTCCACACACTCTTCTGCCTCCCGTCCTGCCTGCAGCCCCTGCCTTCCTCCCCAGGTCCCTGCCCTGACCCCGTGAGACACACCCCTGTCTCTCAGGCCCCATGCTCCTCCCATACTGGGGACCCCACCTTTTCTAGGGCCCCAATTCAGTCAGTTGTCCTCATCTTTGTTGCTGCCCCTGGCTTCCTGCCGGCCTCAGTCTCCCTTTCATTTGGCTGCACAGGCATGTGCATGTCCCTTCCTTCTGCCATCACAGCCCCCTGCTCAGGAAGTCGCCTTCAAGACCTCCCTGCTTGGCCTGCCGATTTCCCCCACCCTGCCCCTCCAGTGCCTCACCCTACACTTGTTCTCCCTCAGAGCTGAGAGACTTCAGGGCACTGTGGTGCACATCTGTAAACCCAGCAGCTTGAGAGGCTGAGGCAGGAGGATTGCAAGTTCAAAGCCAATGTCAGCAATTTAGTGAGGCCCTGTGCAACTTGGTTGGCCCCTGTCTCACAATAAAATATAAAAAGGGCTGGAGATGTGGCTCAGTGGTGAAGCATCCCTGGGTTCAATTCTTCGTACAAAACAAACAAACAAAAAAAAGCTGAGACTCCTCTCCAGGCTACCATCAGGCCCTCCCCTTCACTGGCCTCTGAAATTTAAGTTAGCCTTTTCTAAGTCTACAGAGAGCCCTTGGGCCAGAGGTCACTAGGTAGCCCAGCAAGACGGGCCTTGGGGTGCTGTGTGTGTGTGTGTGTGTGTGTGTGAGAGAGAGAGAGAGAGAGAGAGAGAGAGAGAGAGTGTGAATAGTTAGGAATGGAACTCAGGGCCTTGCTAGGCAAGTGCTTTACCATTGAGCTACACCGCAGCCCTTTTTATTTTAATTTGAAACAGGGTCTCAACTAAGTTGCCCACCTGGCCTCAAGTTTATAATCTTCCTGCCTCTGCTTCCCAATTCCCTGGAATTATAGGCATGCACCACAGCACCTGATATTAACTTTTTTGAGGTTCATCCACATTGTAGCATATGTCAGTACATCATTCCTTTTCATGGACAAATAAGATTCCATTGTATGGCTTGACTACATTTTGCTTATTTGYTATGTTTTAATTTTTTTTTTAATCCAAGAATTGAACCCAAGGGCACTGAACCACTGAGCCACATACCCAGTCCTTTTTATATTTAATTTGAGACAGGGTCTCACTAAATTGTAAATTGCTGAGGCTTCCTTTGAACTTGCAATCCTCCTGCTTTAGCTTCCAAGCCACTGGGATTTCAGGCATGTGCCACCATGCCCAGCTTCATTGTCTTTTGAAGGACATTTGGGTTGTTTCCACCTTTCTGCTTCTAAGCTCTGCCTTCTAGACTGAGGAGGTGCTCAGCATTTGAGTAATGCCATATTGTTCTATCTTCCTTCCAGGAACATTTAATG